ATATTATAAAATTTTTACAACATATTGCTTTTTCCATTTAATATTTAATTTTGAATTAAATTAATTTTTGTATATTTTTATTTAATATTTTTTATTATTATTGTTATTTCTATTGTTATATTTTTAAAACCCGGGAAGTGACACCTTATATAATGCGTATTTGAAGTCTATAATTAAAATTTTCAAAATGTGAAAATAATTATTTTATTATTGCTGCGCAAAATGTTTTGAGTGTTGCCGCTATGAATTATAATGTAATATAATCTCTTGCTTTCTATATACTCAAGATAATTTTATTTTTTGCTATAAAACTGTATATTTCATATGAGAAGAGAGAAGATTTCTTTCACAAGAGCGTATATAGTTGGGCAAAGCTACTGACGTATGTATGAATGTGAGTTTCATTTGTTATTTCTTGCATTTAAGTTATTTAAATTCACAAATTATTATCATTGTTAAAATTCACAATGATTGTCTATAGGTCTATACGTATTTGTTCCGTGTGGAGCCTTTTTTTTTATTGATTTTAGAAAAATTTTTGTCATATTGTAGTAATAGAGATATGTTTTTTAATTTTAAAAATAAAAATTTTTTTATTTAAATTTCAAAAAAAGATTCATTTAATTTACTGACGCAAAATTATGCGATATATGTCAATTTCAATCTTGACTATTTTTAGATGTCAACCTCATTATTGACTAAACGTTTTTAGGTCAATCTATAATTTCTGACTGTTATTGTAGAAATATAATTGAATTTTGATGATTTAGTAATTTTAATTAAAATTCAATGTTATTTTTATTATTTATTTATGCATTATATATGTATTTATTTTTTTATATTAATTTTTTTTTAATTATTAATTATTTTATTTACATTGATAATCGTTATATTGTTCATATTTAAAACTATTTATATGACAATTCTATATTTTATTTTAAATAATCTTTAATATATTTCTGTTAAAATTAAATTTAATTTTTTATATATGTATGTATGTACGTATGAATAATACTTATGAAGTAATGAAATTGGTTTTTTTTTTATTATTAATTAGATTTTATATTAATGTTATTTTAGGTTTTTATGTATATATATATATGTATATATAATATGTTTATTAATAATATTTTAATATCATATCTAATTGTTTTTATATTTCTTTAATTGATACGTTTTGATGGGAGATTTTTTTAAATGACATTTTGTTTTTTTTTGTTAATGTAATTCACTAATATTAATTTTTTTTTAAAATAATATTATGGATGATAATTTTATGATTTTGTTTCAATAATCTAATTTTTTTAATAATTAAATTAAATGTTTAATAATACTTAAATTTACAGCAAAAATAGCAATTAATTTATAATGTACATAAATTAAATTTTTTATTTTCGGATGGAAAAAATTAAAAATTTGTCGAGATTACTCGCAAACAGTTTAATTCAAGGAGTTGAAAAACAAAGATATGAATTATGGGTAAGAAAAATTAAGTAAAAATTTAATTTTAGAAAAAGAATTCAAGAGTAAATAAGTGAAATTTAACTGTAAACAATATTAATTAATATTAATAAAATTAAATTTCTAATATTAATTGTGTTCCAATATAAAATTAATTACTCTTACAATTAAAAATTATTATAATTTTTAATTCGAATTAAAATGAAGTAGTTTGAATTTGAATTGGAATATTTTAAAAAGCACAACACATTTTTCAATAATTTTTTTCTTGTTTATGTATTTTTTTCTTTTTTTACAGAATTAGTTATATAATTAACATATACATATACGAGATCTTTTTAATTATTTTTAATTATATAATTTAGGTGTGATTACTTTTCATTTATAAATTTATATATATATATATATATATTTTTTCCTTTATATAATGACTTTTATTTAAAAAAATGGCCGTTTTTACTGATATGTTTTAAAATTTCATTTTCATATTTATATAATAAAATTGAATTGATTCAATTGATAATTTTTTTTATTTTTTTTTTTATTTTTTAATATCTTTTCTTTCATTTATGTTGCGTATGTATAAATATGTATATATACTTGTATATTACAATATAATTTTAATTGCACGAATTATTTTGTAATTGAAAAATAAAATTGACCAATTTTTTTTCAAATATTGTATAATATATTTGTTGCTCAATGAAGTTATGAACTAAAAAAAAAATTAATATACATATTTATGTAAGTATGACTTAGTTCGTAATTGAAGTAAAATGGTTTCTATGCCTGCAATCACTTTCTAACATTTTCGGCAACATTTTACAATGCTTTTTGAAATAATTGCGGCCAGGTATTGTAAAAGATAAAGCGCGGGTACTTTTTTTTTCAATTTTAAGCAGTTTTTTGTAAATAGAATACTTGATACCGGTTTGCTAGTAGTTTTTATTAAGTAAAATAATTTTACAAAATATTTTTTTATAGGTGGCGCTTCTAAATCCCTTTACAAGTATTTGTTGGCAATTGCAATAACCTGTTTATAATTTCAACAAATGCAGATATACCTAAGAAAAAATTAAACATACTGCAAGCCTTAAAACACAATTACTTCAATCATAAACTGAGCATATATTACATAATATAATTATCATAGACTGAGCTTGCACATTATGATAATTTTGTATATAATTTATAAAATAAAAATTTTGAATTTTTTAATAGAATTTTTAAATTTAAATTGAATTTTATATCTTAAATTTAAATTTAATATGTTTTAATATGATTGCATTAATGTTATGTACATTGTATATATAAATTTTTTAAATAATATTATACAATATCATTTCTTTTCAATATAGATACTTATTATAGGTATTTTTAATTCTAATATTCGTTTACAATAAATAGATTGATGATAAACTTCATTTTTATGAAATTTTAATAAATATATTTTATAATATTATATAATAGAGGCGAATAATATACAAATATAAGTATATATAATATATATTATTAATAAATATTTTACAGTATGTATAATTTTGATTTCCTTAAAAATATTTTATATGTATATATTTTTAATGTATATAATAATTTAAATTGAGATAAAATTTTTACATGTTAATTGCTTTAATCTATATATACAGTTATGCTGAATAAATTTTTAATGTATAATTAATTTTGTATACATATATATATGTATATATACATATATATATATATATATATATATATATATATTTATTTATATACATTAATATGTATGTAAGTGAATTTATATATTCATAAAAGTTAATATCACTTTGGTAATTAAACAGGCGAGCCAATTGACTCTTGATATGTATCGTTACCTTGGTTGTGTCTTATGTTTAGAAAAAATTAATTTAATTTTCTAAATACATTTGATAAGATTTTTAATTTTTTCAGTTAAAGAAAATTAATTAAAGAAAACCGTGTTTATTAATTACATTTTATTAAAAATTGCAATAGTTTAAAGCATTTATTAATGAAAATTTGTCGACATTTGCATTTTTCAATTTTTTGGATTCGATAAACAAATAATATTGTGTTTATTTTAGTAACATTTATGCACTAACATTTACTAATTTATATTAGTAAGTATTTTAAAAAATTACTGAATTCGTTTCTTCAAAATTTAAAATTTAGTTCACAAATTTGTTTTTGACATCAATTTTATTTATTATTAATTTTTGCATTTTTCGTTTATAAATAATTTTTTTTTTCTAAATATATAAAATTATTTTGAATAATAACTTGAGTTCTCAAATAAATTGTACCAATTAATTATAAATTAATTTAAAAAATAATCAAATGTATTTAGAAATTAATAAAAAAAATATTTTTAATGCAAACTAATAATTCATCAATTTAAATCATTACAGTATCTTCGATTGCACCCCAAAAATTAAAATGTGCAAACTTATTTGATATGTATGCGATATTGATGCAATTTCCAATACAATGATATTAAATTGATGAGCTTACAACTCTATATACATAAATAGTTTTCCTATAATTATATTATTTATTATATTTAATTTAAAAAATAAAATCATTCTTAATTTACATTGCATTTAGTATGTATAGTGCAAAACATAATGCTTTTTTTGCTTTTATTTTAAAATAATATCATTTGCTGTGGTTTTGTTATAAATTTATTAAATATATTTGTGTGTATGTACCAATATATTTATATAATATGTTTTTATATATGTATTTATATTTTAATTTTTGTTTTTTTCATAATACTACAATATTCATTTCTAATTTGCTTTAATTTAGTTAGTAATTTTAATTTAAAATAATTATTTATTTTCTATCTAATAAAATAGATATAATTAATGTAATAAAAATAATTGTGGTTTCAAATTGAATAACTTTGTCACATTTCCATTCCTGTTTTTATAATTTCGATATATGTATAATACTTATAATATGGGCAACTGAAAAATCAATAAATGAGTTTATTTACTTTATGAACACCTATATTATAAAATTTTGCAAAGTTAAATATTCTATATATGAAAGTAATTTCAATGGGACCTCTTAAATTAAACAAGAATTCTAACATATAGGCTGAAGATACCTTTAAAGTATCTTCTGCCAAAACAAGGGTGCATTTTTATAAGGAAAACAAATATTGAATTTTTGATTTTTTAAAAAATTAAATAATAATTTGTCGGAAAGGCAAATAATGTGGGGGCACCTACTGTAGAAATATAATATTGTTATAAAATTATTATAATTAATATGTTATAAAATTAGTAATTTATAGCAATTATATTTTGAAAATTGAACACTTTTTTGAAATCTTTTGTTGCACAATTTAAAGGAAATTAGGGATATTATTATAATATTTCTTTGAAATGTATTATTTAAGTCAAAAGTTAATTTTTCAGTTTAAAGTTATTTTGAACGTAAGTTTTTGTAAATCACACTTATGCAACACAAAACTATCCGATAAGTTTTTGTAGAACAACAATTAATTTACTTTTTATTAATTATTGCTGCAAGCTTTAAGTTTTCTTATGGAATTTTAATTTTTCTATGAAATTAATAATATTTTTAGGTCTACAAAGGAATTTTAGTTAAACCACAATTATTCTTTAAAAATTTAAATTAACGCTTCATTTTTTGTTTTACTGTACACATATAGATTGCAATTTCATTTTATTCAAATTCTCAACATTAAATATTGAGATTGATTTTTGAAACTTTTTTAATTGCAATTTTTATAATTTTAATTAATTTAATTTGACTAGGAGTTTTGCTTTTTTCATTTGTTTAAAAACGTTAAAATTTGTACATAAATTTCATAAATTAACAAATTAAAAAATATTTTGCTTATTTCTCTTCATTTTAATTATTTTTTAAGAATTTCTACTACATAACTAATAATTAATTATAGTAACATATGTATATGTGTGTGTTCATGTATTAATAATTGATTCTACATTATTTAATATACAATCGCCAAAACAAAATTTACAAATTTTGTGATGACGTCATAATATCCTATTTTTTTTTGCGAATAATCCATTTTGCTTATTTAAATTTTGGTTTTAATGTATAGTAATAAAATATGTAATGTGATATAGGTATGTATAATATTTGTAATTTTTTTGATAGTATAGTTATTCATAATGCGAGTCGATAATTACAAAAATAAATATTGAAAATAACATTACTAATAGTTCTAAACAAAATATTATAAACAATATTATAACAAAGTAATTTAAAATATTAACAATATAGTAAGATTTAATAAATAATGGCTTCGATGCTAATGATGTTCGTGACAGTGATTGTGAGAACGATGAATTTCTATTTATGTATATTTAAAATCCTGTGCCAGATCTAAATGGATTCGATACCCTACCACCAGCACCACTATCTTGTTGTTGAAATCCACCGCCTTGTGGTTGAACTTGCGGTGCACCATGTCTAAATGGATTAGCTTGTTGTTGTGAAGATGGAGGAAGATGTCGTTGTTGATCTTGTTGTTGCTGTTGCTGATAAATACCACCTTGTTCTTGATAACCGGGCTGATATTGTTGCTGTTGCTGATAACCACCTTGATATTGATATTGTTGCTGTTGATTATATTGTTCGTTATCGACATTTGTTTCTGCAACACCTGCACCGTCTTGCTGTTGTTGGTAACCGTATTCTAAATGATTTTTGAAATCACCATCAATCGGTTGTTGATCTTGCATTGAGTAAGTTTGATATTCCTTTTTAGGTGGATCTGACATTAATATATTTGCTTCAGATTCAAATGGTTTGAAATCGTAAATGTTTCTAAGTTTACCAAGGACGGGAACATACAGCAAATTTGTGAATGCGATTATAAAATTAAGAGCTGTAAATCCAATTAGTTCTACAACTCCACCAGCTATAATAGGTCCTACAGCATAAGCAATTGAATATGATATGTCAGCAATGGCATAAATGCTACCATAAACTGAAACATAACGAACATCGACTAGATAACCTAATGTTGGCAGTAATGCAGTATCAATTAATGCTATACCAAAGCATATACCACATATTGGTATCATTAAGACTTTATAAGATGAAGAAAATGGTATTATAAAGCAACATAATCCTTCTAAAGCTAAACCTCCAGCAGCCATCAGCCATTGATGATGAGGATATTCTCTGGCCATTTTAACTGTTATCACAACACCAAATACATGTGGGAAAAAGGCTGGTAACCAAATCATACCAATTTTCCAATTATCTGTTGTCATTGTATCTTCCATCCACAATGATATTGTTGGTTCAATAAAAGCTAATGCCACGTTTGACATAGTTAAAGCACCCGCACATACTGCAATATATGGATCCATTAATAATTTCCATATTGGTATCGTTTCTTGTTGTACTTCTCTACTTTCACTTAATTGTTGTTTAATCGGTTTCATTACTAAAAGCAATAAAGTTCCATCAATTAAGCAAACAAATGCTAATATTAAAAATGGAACTTCTTTGCCAGCAAATTGATATAAAGCACCACCAAATGGTGGTGCTACTAAACAACCAAAACTAATAAATGCTAGTGCTATACCAAGCGCTTTTGAGCGTTCATTTTCTTCTGTGAAACGATCTGCAATCATGGCTAAACCGGATGTATCCGCAAAAGCTGAGCCTGCACCTTGCAATGATCTTGCAAAAAATAATACACTATATGATTTACCGCAGGCAAATACAGCCGTTGAAAAGAACATGATAGTCAGACCGATCATCATTGGTATATCATAACCTATACGATCAATTAAAGCGCCCGAAAATGGATTAACCATTAATTGTACTATTGCTTTTGAAGCAAATAATATACCAGTTGCTGAATCTTGACCATGATGATCATGATGATTTGGATCTTTTGGTATTAATGTACCATTTGGAAAACGTGGTGGTGGTGGTGTCGGTATTGGATCACCATTATCATCTAATGATGCGATATATTGTAAATAATCGGGTATTATAGGCACTATAACCATATATAACATATTATCAAGAAGTAATGCTATTGATACTATAATTAAAACTAAACGACGTTGATAAATTGGTTCTTGAATTTTCTCCCATATTATCCCCTTAACCTCACTAAACGTTAAATTTATAACTGGTATGGTGAAGGACATTTTGAAATAATGTTTTTTTTTTTAAACTTTGATTTTAATTTTTTGCTGTTGTTATTTAATGATTATAGGTGTTGCAGGTAGTGGGATTAATCAACACAAAATTAAAATAAATTTAAATACAGGTATTATATAACTTGTTGTTAGTACTAAAATTAAATGATTGAATTTTATAATTTGATTTTAATTTTTTTTTTAATGTTGTAAATAATTGAATGCAGAATGATAAATGTGTTACTAACATGCGACGTAAAAAATTTAATTACTTTTTTGTTTTATAAATATTTTTAAAAAGAATTGAGGATTTTTTCGTGCTTCTTTTATTCTTTTTTACTTGGTTAAACTTCAGCTTGTCTTTAAACTTTAAAAATTATCTTTAATAAATTTGATAATGTTCATTGTGAATTCTGCATGCTGGGATTTTATTTAATTTCTACTTTTGTAAGTAACTACGAAAAAAAAAACTAAAACTTGAACGGAAAAGTTGGAATTATTTCTACAAAAATTAAAATTTTAACATTTTTAACAAAAATTTTTGTATAACAGTTTTCTGTTTTTTAATTTGTTTTCTTGATTTGTTTTTCAGCTACTTTTTATTTTTTGTATGCAATTTGTTTTTTTTTTTGTATATTTTTTTTTATAATTACTAAAAGATTTTCATATTTATATACAAATCAAAAATATCACACTTTTTAAATATACAATATAATATTTCTTTGGGAAATATGATTTTGTCAATCCTTCATATTTTTGTTTTTTTGTTTTTATGATTTCTTTTTTATAGATATATCCTTGCTGGTTTTGTTTCAATTCACAGTTGCTTCGAATTAATTCTGTTATAATCAATTTTAATGCTTTTCTTTATAATTAAATATTGTTGATTATATTATTAATAAATGATGATATGTTCATAGAGGTAACAATTATGACTACTCATCCTATTTTGCTTCAGCGATGGTCTGTCTGCCAACCAATAGACAACCTTTAATAACAACACAGAAACAATATTTCGTTAGTATGAGTTATAAAAGTTTGGATTTTTTTTTTTTGTTTTATAGAATAATTTATAGTTTAAACAAATACGTTTAATTATTTGAAAATTTGCATTTAGTCAATAAAAATCAATATAATTTACAATATTATACTGTTCTTTTTTTGTAAATTTGTTTTTAAATTAATATTTTAAATATGTATAAATATAAACTTTTTAAAATAATTTATACATGAAGATTATAGAACAAAGAAAATTTAGTTTACAAAATTTTCTTTGAATTTATTTTGAAACTTTAATATTTTTATATGATGCCTTATGATTGAAATGTTGTTTCTGTGATGAAATAAAAGGTAGGGAGTTGTCTTTTTCATTAAAAATTTTCATTAAAAAAAAGAAAATAAAAATAAAATATTCTTGATTTCAAATTTAATTTCTTAATTATACAAACAATTTTTTTTTTCAATTCTTTTCGCTTTATTACAAATAAATTAATTTTTAAAATATAAAATTTAACACAAAAAATTAGCTTATAATATTTGAGTATAACAATAAAATTTGTGTAATTTTTTTTAATGAAATTCGCTTTTGTGCTAAATATAATAATTTAAGTATAACATTTTATTTTAAATTTTTTTGTTTTTTAATTTAGTTTTTTATATTAAGAGTAATTGGTATTCATATTGTTTTTTGAGGTGACAAATCCGTTGAGGAGAATTTCAAATATAATATTGAAAGGTGAATAATTTTTTATATTTAGCACATTATTTTTGTTTAATTATACACCAATTGTTGATTAAATTATTTATCTTATAAAATCTATTTGTTATTTCAATTTTTAATTTTGTTTTTCTAATTAAAAATTATGTTCTTTTTTAATTAAAACTTTATTGATACATTTCAATCATAATTCAGTTATAATTTATTATTTTTTATGTAATTATAATTTACTCTTACTATTAAAATATATTATATATTATGTATAATAAAATTCATCTATAAGAAATATTTTGTAATAATTTTCTAACTCTTTCTGAGATCTTAAGTGTTAGATCTCATTTCATTACATTAAAGTGTTATATCACATTTAATAATGGTTCTTAGACGCATATAAAACAAAATTTTTCTCAGACGCAAACCATTACTTGCTTTTAGTAAATGTCCAAAAAAAATTTATCTGCATGTTTACAAAATTTCTACACCCTTTTAGATAGAAAGCTGACTTATAAACTTATTTCCGTTTTTAGAAGTAACTTTTCGTCTATTGCTCCTTCAGAAAGTTATATAGCCCCCAAAAATCCTAAATATGCTATTTTTTCACTATTCATTTTTTAAATTTGGCAAATGCCGAAAATTAGTGGCTGTTATCCTCTACTACTAAAATTAATATCTAAAATATTTAAAATATGTTTTTCTTTTTGTATCTCGAAATCGTTTTATTTTCTATGAATCAATGAAAATTTTTTTTTTTCAGAAATTTTTTGTAAAATTTAAATTTTCAGCTTATCCGTGTTTCTGTAAATGCCAAAATATAACGGTATATGTTATGCTATCAAAAAATATAATTATTTATTTTTACTAACACAATTAACTTGATCATTAAGTCAATGACTCTTTCAAATTTTTTTTGGTCTGATCCCAATTTTGTGCAATTATTTTAAATATTTCGGCAATCATGGGTGAAAGCAATTTTATTAGTAATGCATTAATTAGATAACAGGTTGTTTGTATTTTCAATTGATAAGAAACGTCAACAGGTTTTATTATTTGACAATGTTAACATTTTTTTATAAAAAGTGAGTTTCTCTTTAATAAATTTCCAATGCAGATAGAAGAGGAACATTTTTAATTTTTGCTTACATTATTTAAGAGTTCTATGATGTAAGAAGAATAAATGCATTGCATTTCTTATTCATAAAGCAATTGTGCCAATAAGAAGGATTATTGAATATTTGGAGGAATTATATAAAAGGATTTAAATTAAGGAATTTGATTTAGTAATGTGAAAGTATAGTAACTTTTATTTAAATATTGTTTAAAAACTTTTGGCTAAAGCTGGAATTTATGATTAATTTTTAATGTAATTGTATATTCGCATCTATACATATACATAAGCAAATAACATTTTTTAAAATAATTTCATTGAATAATGTTTTTACCCAATGAGTTTCAATATTCTAAAATCTCCTTTATTTTACTGAGCCCTCTTTTGTAATTAAAGGAAAAATGTTACTAAAATGTTCTTATTACATTAATTATATTTTGCCACAAAATATAATTAATGTAATAATGTTTTATTGTTATGTACCTATATACATTAGAAAAATGTAAGATATAACGCTGCAAATCTAAGATATTATACTCTTGCTTATTTGCCTTTGCATATAATATGTAAATATATAAATATCGGGTAGCTTAAAGGTTTTCATTTTCAAAAATAAAAAAAAAATTGTTCAAAAAATTCGAAATGGAAAGATGAAAATATTTTATAAAGATTACTTTCCACCTATATGAATTTAATTTCTCTAAAACCAATGTTCTATGAAATCTAAATTTTGGAAATCTTTATTAAAATTTCTTATGTAGTTTCTTTATTATCTACAGGATTCATTCTGAATTTCAAAAATTTTCAAGTTAATTATTTATTTCAAATGGAAATATTGCTTTTGAGAAACAATATACAGCATAATTTTGAAATATTAAAAGGGAAGGAATGTAAGATTTCAGAAAAGTGAAAAAATATTGCTAAAATGATACGTTCCAGGTTCATCTGAGGTAATAGTATGCCTTTAAAAATTTTAAACGGTATTTATTGTAATCACAATCAATTAATATTGCGAAAATTTTAATTGATTAACCAACCGACTATTAAAAAATTGTGAAGCATTTAACTTAATTAAAGAATTTCATATTTCAATGACATTCGAAAGCTTCATTAAGATAATTTTGTACACAAATTTTGAAGTTCTGCAACTAAAACTCCATAATTACATATGGATTTATACAGAAAAGCAAATAAATTATTAAATTGCTTGCCAAACAAATCGAGAAAGTTCCATAGTAAAGTTATTTTATATATTATTTTCATACCTATATGATATACCACATATTAAAACCACATTTTTAGAAATTTACCTATTTAATAGCAACCGAACAACTTTGTATATTCAAGTATGTATATATTATATGAGTACAAATAAAAATAATTTTATTAGAAAGTATTTCTGAGGTAAAATTTAATATAGATGATATATGTAGATGAATTACGTAGATATACATGGGTTCAATCCGCATAATATACACATGTTTTCACTTATATGTATGTATATACTTGGTTCATTCTTATTTTATACAATAAATTTTTCAAAGAAATTTGGATAACCGATAAGGATACTTCGCTTCAAACACATAAAAGAAATAAAATTAAAGCACAAGCAATGCCCATATAATATAAGTAGGTATTTTTAACGTTGTGTACATACATACATATTATTTAAATTAATCAAGTTGGAATATTAGACAAGAATCTAAAAATATCTTTTTATATTTTCCGTTATATAAAAAGTATCAAAATCTCATACCATACCTTTTTTATATACGGATGGTTAAGGGATTATAAAATGTATATATATACAATATAATTGTGTTATAGCGGTAGCACAAGTTTTAAAATTTAAGTTTTACATACACACACAAAGGTAAAACGAAAAAATATTCTATTTTTTCAACCTCATTATTTTCTTATTTTATATTCAAAAAATTTTAAACTCGATACGAAAAAACTAATTAAAGAATTTTCAAAAAAAAAACATTTAAAAAATAAGATTCATATACAGATTTTTAGGAAAACCATTCGAGGCAGGAAGACGTCACACATCCACAAAATGTACAATCCACAAAATTCACATAAATTGCCACTATTTCTAAAGCAAGTCCAATTTAGCTCATTACAATAGTATTTATGACTCATGGTTTCTTTTATTTTGGTTCCCACTTCGCCATTACTGAAATTGTAAGTCAATTTTGCCCCTTCATTTGTTCGTACGTCCATGTAAATCCTTACAAAAGCTTATTTCTGAAGAAGAAAATTTTTACCTTTCTAACCCCTCCAAAAATTTTTGCCTTCAAAGCCATTTGAATTGTTGCAGTCTTTTAGATATTAATAGTTTATCACCTTCTAAACAGCAATTCATTTGTTTCGTTACAAAAAAAAATTTTCCACCTCGTCTCAAACCGTTGCCACTCGAAATTTTATAATAAAATTTTGGCGTCTTATATTTTAGAAACTAGGAGTTTTTCCAAATTTCTTTAAGAGCTAATTCCAAATTTCTTTAAGAGCTAATGGTAAATAAGAAAAATCAAAAAATATAATTTTTTATCTTATCCATTGAACTCTACCATTATGTTAAGGTCTCTTCAAAAAGTTTTTTTCTCATCCTAAATATATGCCAGAAGTTAATATACTACCGAAATTTGGAACGTGTTTATGGTTCTACTGTAATAAATAGTTAAAAGATGTCTTTTTAGGGGTTTGGAGGGTTTCTAGTAAAGATCTATCTATATATAATATATATTTCAGCGTTCTATCTTCAAGGATGTAGAAGTTTATTAAACATAGATACGGACAGACAGGCGAACGGACGAAAGCATTTCTTTTTTAAAGTTTTTTTTTGGAAAAGTGCTCAAGGTCAAAAAAAAAAGTAAAAGAAAAAAGTATCACAAGTTTGAATTGTAATTCATGTTAAATGTATAATAAAAAAGAAATTTAAGATCCGAAAATTCGTTTTAAATTCCTTATGTCAATACAAAAACTTCACTAACGATTTTAGAATTTTACTAATATAAAAAAAACACCAATTACCAAATTAAAAATAGAAAACGAATACAGAATTAAAATGTAACAATTGTAAACTATCAACAATTGAAAAAATTTTTTTGAGTTAAACAAGCTCTCAGTTTTAAAATTAAAAATTTTTGTAGCTTCACAGCAA